GAAGGGAAGGATGACCACGGTGACTAGAACGGCCGGCCGGAGTTGGGCGGAAATGGAGAGCTCACCGGCGTGCGAGGGAGGCGGCGCTTCGGCGAGTTTGGCTGCAAGCGAGCGGTGGCCGAGGTAGCACTTGCGGCAGCGGAGCTAACGGCGGCGGCGGCTTGGCGCGGCGGAGGCCCTAGCGGCGACGGCGCGTGGCCGGAGATGGGCAGCGGCGGCGGAGCTCGGGTGTGGCGTGGGGAGAGCGGCGGAGTGCACGGGCAAGCGCGGCAATAGCGGAAAAAGGTCGAGGGGGCTCGAGGGAGTGATTTATAGGTGCGGAAGGGGGCGGACGTGGCCGGGGAGGTGGCCGATTTGGCCGGCGATGTGGGGTGGAGAGAAAGAGAGAGTGGGGTGGGATTCAAAATGAATCCCGCCCATTTTTGGGCGCGTGCGAGGGCGGGAGGAGCGGGGAAGGGGCGGCGACGTGGGCGCAGGGCGCGGAGTGGGCGCGGGGAGGCGGGAAAGGCGGTGGCATGGGCGGTTGCCGCCGGGGCGCGGTCGGCTGGAGGAAGGGGACGACCCCGACAGGTGGGGCCCACCTGTCGGCATCCCGGAGGGAGGGGGAAGGGGAAATGGGCCGGCCCAACAAGGGGAGGCTGAGCGCGGGGTGAGGCGAGGTGGACTGGGCCGATGGCCCAAGAAGAGGGAAGATGAGGAAAATAAAAGGGAAAAAGGAAAAATAAATTCCCTGGGATTTAAAATTGCACTTTAGTGATTTTTAATTGGTAAAAATTATTTACAAGGCTCTGAAAATTCCACTAAAAATCCTGTTAATATATTGCAACATGGGGAACTCAAGAAAAATTCCACCACGCCATTTCCGATTATTAATTGCATTGATTAATTAGGGATTCAACTCTAGGTTAATTAAACAATTTCTTCGAGCAATTTATTTAACCAATTTTTTTTAGCAAGAAAAGGGGGAAACTTCAGGGCGTGACAATCCCCCCCTCCCTCCCTTCATGCGTGCTCAAATATGAGACCACATCTGCGGCCAGCCCATCTCCTCCCCATCTGCAAAGGAAGAAGAAGACCAAGGAGGAAGAAAGTATGTTCTTAGATGGAGGTTGACAAAATATTCAACTACAATGACATGGCTTCAATTTTACAAAATTATAGTGACACACATAAGACCAAGGAGGAAGAAAGCATGACCTTAGACGGAGGTTGACAAAATATTCAACGGCAATGACATAGTTTCAATTTTACAAAATTACAATGACATGTAACAGGTATCACAGATATAAAAGACATTTTTCCTAATTGACCAAATTTGCAATGACATAGATCCAATTAACCATTTCCTTTTTGGCCCCCTCCCTTTTGGTCTCAACAATCAACATCAAGGCACAGCCAAAACTCAGGTATCTTGATATCATTGATAATTGTTGCTATATGAAGCAAAGCTTTACTAGTGTATCATCACACTACAGTTTTCAAACAGCCCATAATTTCATTTTATCCTTTGCCGGGGGCACTAAATTGCCATATATTAATAAATGACATTTATTCCTAGCCACCTATCATTTTCAGCATGCAAATACATACTTACCCAAATTCATCAAACACAATGCATGTAGCATTCACTTGTGACAGCTCCTTAATTTCCAAAGAATCATCTTCTAATATCGCCTGTTTATTTTTCATGTCATTTCTCCAGACAAGATATAATGTGGTGAAATGAATCCTGTGAAGTAGTCATGATGTAAGGAATCATGTGCCTTATTATGTTTAGATATGAAAAGACATGTGTTTCCCCTCAAAAAAAATCCAAAAATGAACCATTATTTGTGACTAAAGAAAAAAGAAAAACTGATCAGTTAATATGGCAACAATTTTTGTTAATATCTATGATTCCAAAGTTAGATGCACTGGCAATGACAGCATAAGGGATTAAAAGCACCTTATCTCCCCTCACCACTGCCTTGTCCAATGTCCAACCTTGCCCTTCTTTCCTTCTCTACTACACGTGCATACACCCTTGCTAGCCTCCCTACATTTCCCATTTCCATCACCATGAATAGGTTGCAGCACATCGATTGAATATCACAATTTTAATGTGAATATATATATATGCAGAGTGAAGCAGAGGAACTTGGATGATGCGTGCTGAAGTTATCATGGAACAGGTTTTTGCTTCACCATACTCATGCAACTTTCTTCAAAATCAATTATGTTTAGGATTTGCAACCATATTCCTTTAGATCTATGATTTGATTAATGATTTGTTTGTGGTATTACAATCATTTAGAGTGGATTCAACCCGTTCTCTTATATCTATTGTGTGTAAGGATTTTACAATCACATTTCTTCAGATCCATGATTTTAGTAGACTACGTGTGATATAATTATCATTTAGGGTGTATACAACCTATTTTTTTAGATCTATCATATGTTTATATCTTTTACAAGCAGATTCCTTTAAACACTTGATTCAACTAGTAAGATTGTACTGTACTAAATGTGTTGCTATCATTTATTAGGGACCAAAACAGATTGGTAGTGTGTGCAATGGCTTTATTTAAAAAAAATATCTCTTTTGTGTGTAGATGATTGTTATATCTCCTCACAATACAAAATATTGATCTTAAAGCCAAACTTGATTTGGCAAGAACAAATAACCCTTAAAACACATAACACATTTAATTTTCTATTAAACTAAGAACTTACTATATATCGCAAGATATATGGGCCTCATATGAAAAGGAGTATTATGGATAGTGTTAGAAGAGGTGCCAAAATTTAGTTAAAATGATTAAAAGAGTGCAGCCAATAAATATGGACTAAGCAAGAAAGAAAGCTCCTCTAAACATTTTTTCCGAAAATGTTCTTTTAGTTGCAAAACAAATTGTAGCATGACAATACCAAGCGTCTAATTGCGCTGAATGCATTCATCTTATTTAACTATGTGTTTTTTTATATGGGGTTGTTTGTGAATTTAACCCTCCTAGTGGAGTTTTCACCGTAGGCTAATGGAACTTGAAAATATTCCACCTAAAATGCACCCAGGCTGTAAAAAAAAAAATCATATCTTCTATATAATTGATGCTGACTAGCTACTAAACTCAATATATGAGTGTAACACATCATCATTCAGTAGCAATTAATGCCTAAAGTATTTTAAATGTTATACAAGTATAGTACATCATCTATATTTTATTATATTTTAGAACTCAACATGTAAGCATGGCAGATCATCTCACATCATTTGATATACATATCCATCATTTCTATAAGAGCTCTTTTTCCATCCTTGAGGAAGTACCATGAGGTACCATGAAGTACTAGGTACCATGAGGTACCAATCTAATCTAGCCATTGATTAAGCAGGGGCATGATTGGAAAAATAAGTCAATAGACAAGATTATCGTTCATTGGTCCTTCCAATCGGCACCACCCAAATCGCCAATAGCGATATAGAGCGCCGCAATCCCTTTCCGTCTGTCATGAGTTCTCGCCCAAATTGCTAAAAGCAAGGTGACGCCACCGCTGGGAGTGCCCGAGCCCAACGCCGACCCCTTTTCTCAGTTCCGCTGCCGCCGCCGGCGGATAGATATTAGTAAGGAATTGGTGAATACGCATGTTGTGTTTAGGCAATATGGTGCCTGCTATTAATAATTGAAGTCGTGTATCTTTGGGTGGTGATTATGCGAATTGATTTTATTAGTAATTGAAGTTAAATTCCAGTGGAGCCGTAGCTGCCGCCTGATGGTATGATGCAATTAGCTAATTTCAAACCAAACTTGATACTGTCCATTGAACAGAGGGAGATAGTATAACAGCACAAACTGCTACTACATATAGTTTTGACGAGATTACATCAAAGGGAGGCAGTACATATTACCAAACAAAATAATGATGTTCATCCTGTCATCCATCACACAAATTAAGAACATAGACCTTGAGACTAAAATCATCAGCTTTACCTATGTTTCCTCCTAAAACCATCAGCTTCTTATAGCTAATTCCATCCGCAGCAGCAACGAAAACATGCAAAAATATGAACCTGAAGCTTCGGCGGTAGCCTCACTCTCCATTCAGTAGGGCCCTCGATCTCCATTATTCGGCAGCACCCTAGCCGTAGCGGCTCGCTCGACGACTTATCACGATGCAGCAAGTGACGTTGACCACGCCAAATTCACACCTCCCCAATCCCCACCCCGCGTGCGGCCGATTCACTTCCACAGATTGACGAGAGGAGCAAGCATGACCGGATGGAGGGATCTGACCGGGAGTGCTTGATGAAGATATGCTTTCCCCCTCATCTGAGATGGATCTGAACTTGGAACGGGCTCCATCTCTTATTTGCAACGTGTGTTGAGAAGGAAGAGACGCAGACAGATGCGGGCGGAAGAGACGCGGAAGAGGAGCCCCTTCTCTCGCTGCTGCGCGTGGTGATGCACTAATGCGGAAGAGAACGCGAAAGTACAATTCTACCCTCCCACCTACGGTACCGCCTCAATCTGGGTATGCGGTACCACGCGGTATGAATAAATTCCAGTCGTCCGATGCTACCAAATCGATGGCCATGATTTGGTACCGCATGCCCTCAAGGATGGTAAAAAATCTTTTTCTATAATATTAGCATGCATGTGCTTAACTCTAAAATATATGGATGGATATATTCTAAGTTTTATAAATATGATAGATAGAAATGTTGAAATATTGTGGAAATGGTGTTGATTTGTAGTATTCAATAAATCGTACTCCCTTCATCTCAAAACATAAGAAGTTTTTGTTGAATGTGACACATTCTAATACTACGAATCTGGATAAACTAGTATGTGTTTCATGTAATCAAAACTCTTTATATTTTGAGATAGATGGAGTATAGATATGATATTGTAAGCTTATAAGATTTGATATGCATTAATTATTGTCCAGTGATAAGCCATGCTTGCATCCATTTTCTCGGCAAACGAAAAAAAACACGGAATGGAAAAATAGTAAAGGGCAGCAAGAAAAAAAATGGAAAAACAATTGCAGAGAGAGAGAGAGAGAGAGCACCCATCCATCTCCCCGGAGGCGAAACCCTAACCCACCCAACCCATCGCCGCCGGCGAAAACCCTAATCCATCCGCCGCCGAACCGAAGTACACGGTGCCCTCTGCTCCCTCCCACGCTCGATCCACTACCCGCTGCTGTTGACGGGAATGCGGTTTCCCTGACGAAATCGCGGTTCGGCTTCTTGGTTCTTGCAGATGGGGAGACCTCGAGGCCGCGGCGGAGGAGGAGGAGGAGGGAGGGGGAGGTTCGGCGGCGGCGGGGGGTCCCGCTTCTCCGCCGCCCGCGATGACCCGCCGCCGCGGCGCTCCTCCTCCGGGTGGGGGGTGGCACCGCCGTCGCGGCACCTGTGGGTGGGCAGCCTCTCCCCGGGCGTCGCCGCGGCCGACCTCTCGGAGCTCTTCCTCCGGTGCGGCGACGTCGAGGGCATCTCCCGTGACCCCGGCCGGAGCTTCGCGTTCGTGACGTTCGCGCGGGAGGAGGACGCCGTGGCGGCGGTGCGGGAGCTGCAGGGGATCCACCTCCGCGGGGCGCCCATTAGGATCGAGTTTTCCAAGGGGGTTAGTGTCGATCGTCCTCCTCCCGCCCCCTTCGCCACGGTTTGCCACGCTTTTACCGAATTGTTCATCATATTCCCTGTCTCAAAATCACCAGTATCCACCAATGAATTGTGCTTATCTTGTCATGGTTGCAAACACGAATCGCCGAAAAATAAAGCAAAAACTATGTTTCACAACAGACCAAGTGTCGCGATAAGTTAAAATTGGTTTGGAGTTTTGCTCTTAGTCAAAAATCAGACCAAAACAGGATCAACCTAGTATGCTTGAACAATGAACTATAAGTTCTCCGTTCTCAGGCATGCTCGGATAACACAGAACCTTAATTTTGTTCATTTATCCGCATCCTTGCTATCATACGAGTCTTTCATACAAAGAGACTTGTCAGACCTTTGGTTTCACTGAAACGGATAGTTCATTCCCACTATGTTTGTTCATCACCGACCAATAAAAGGTCGAATGCTCTACAGAGAGGAAGACTGACAACTCAGATTGCAGATAGTTAGGACTACTATTACATGGTTTTCCCTTGTTATCCCACTGGGAACTAAAGTTCTCGAACTCAATCAAAGATTCAAAGTTCACTAATTGTGATAAGCACAACAGTTAGCTGATGTCTCAAGTCTGTGAATCTACAAGGAGTTAACTTCCATAACACCAAAGCTCCAAAAACAGGGATTTTAGATCTGATGCAGTACATTGCTGTGGCCTGACTGCCTGAGTGATAAAAATTTGGGGAAAATATATTGCATATGAAACTATCTGGATATTCAGTTTTGCGCACATATAAGCAAATTTAAACAGCTCATGAGACATCAATGAAGGCCTTCCGAAATCCCAGAACGTCAAGATCATTTAATAATCTTGGCATGCCCACATTAATATTTTTGGGCTAGTCGGTACCCTTTCTATCTTCTGCAGCTTATGTTTTAAGTTTGAGATGGAACTCAAATTCTATTATGAAGAAGATAATCTCTCCTTGCTTGGTTAAATAGAGAATGCATATGACAACCACTTTGCTATGGTATACCGGTGCAGGACTTGGTTTCCATAAATTACCACAGGCACTCACAAGAGCTTTTTGCTATTATTGTGCAACCAGAATAGTCTCATTTAAATCCTTAGGCATTCTATTAATTGACAGAAAATAACAGCACTAGTTTAGGAAATGTGATTGAAATGCTCAATATTTAGTTTGGTCTGAAGGACCATGTTGAAGTTGCCACTTGCACATGGCTGAATCTAACAGATCAATCTTCACCTTTCTCACCCTTCATGTCATGACAAGAACTAACACCCAACCAGAATAATATCATTTGAATCCTGATGCATTCTATTAAATGACAGAAAATGACAGTGGTTCAGCAAATTTGATTGAAATTATCAATGTTTAGTTTGGTCTGAAGGACAAGGACTACGAGATGTTGCCACTTGCACAGGCTTAATCTAACAGATTAATCTTCACCTTTCTCACCCTTTATGTCGCGATACATGCTAACAATTGCAATAATATATAGGTTCATCTATATCCCTATTAAAAGCAGGGTTTGTTACTTTGTTAGTAGTGCTTTGGTTTATTTGTGGCATAGAAATGCATACGTTTGTCTTGACTAGCTTTGTGGCTTGAATTCACATAGTGTATGAGACAGTTTTGCAATTGATCACAGGTTATCAATCGAGCTTTTTGGGTAGTTGAATTGTTGTAAATAGCTCTATTTCCATGAAGTTTGATCAGTGATACACCATACCACCTTGATGCTAAAACTGAGCCAAAGATTCATGTCAGATGATGGAACTATATCTTAATCAATGCAGCATCAATATTGAACTGTCTCGTGATGTTGTAAATATGGAACTATACCTTCGTAAAGTTTGATACACCATACAATCTAGTTTGATACACCATACAATCTTATGTTGTTATACTAATATTGAGCCAAAGGTTCATTTCAGATGATGGAACTATATCTCACCCAATTTCATCATCAATATCAAACTGGCTTGAGTTTTTTTTCCCCAAAAAAAAGACTTCATACAAAACTCCTAGTTAAAAACCTGCCATTAAAGATGACCCAAAAGTGCCATAACACTATAACAGAAGTCTTGTTCATGATATAGAAATTATAGAACAAATATGATATTATTACAGATGATATTCACAACAGCAGAAGTACCAAATTTCTACATTGTTGTCCTTGTGATTTATGAGTATCAAATGAAAAATGGATTCTAGCACTTGATAGAGTTGATCCCAACTCTCCTTTTGTGGCCTTATTCCAAGTTTGAAACAGCAGGCTGTGATTGCGGTTCTATGTGGTTGTTTGACTGATTATTTCTTATCATTCATATTGTTTTAAACTGCATCTGGTAGGGCTAATTGATCAGAAGCAGCATGGACATAGGTAGAGCAGACCAATCTTATGTCCTAGAGCTTGTCAGTTAAATAGCAATATGAGCATACAAGTACTTATGGTATCTGTGTTCATCATGATCCATTTGCTACTCTGGACCTGAAATATTTGAATTTACAGGATAAAGGTTCAAGTAGCTCTATGGATGACAGATACTCACAACATGCTGATCAAAGACGTTTTACTGAACGAGGAAGGAATCAGCAATCAAGTCCTGAAAAATCAACTGATAAATCCAAAAGAAGCAGGCCAGCAGAACCTAGTGAAGTATTATGGATAGGTTTTCCTGTTGGTCTGAAGGTAGATGAGGCAACTCTCTGGGAAGCCTTTTCACCTTTTGGTGAGGTTGTCAAGATAACTACATTCCCAGGGCGTACTTATGCATTTGTCCAGTACACTACTATTGCAGCGGCATGCAGGGCGAAGGAAACACTGCAGGGAAATATTTTCAATAACCCTCGAGTTAGCATTTGCTTTTCTCGGAGTGACAGTGTTTCAGCAGAATTTGGAAAAGGTTCCTTAGATGCCCCATATTCCCCCCATTTAAACTCTAGTGTTAGACCTATATTCAGGGAGCAAGATTTTGAAGATTTTCCTAGGGCTAGGCCTTTTGATAGTCCTCCAAGAGATATGTACATGCCATCTCCACATTATGGCCCTAAGAGACTTTCTAGAGATCATGATGATGTGGGTTTCAGCAGGGATAATTATTTGCGATATGGACCTGGAGTAGAGCCTGATCCTAGATCTAATTTTGAACCTTTTAGGATACAAGGGCTCGGTCCAGAAAGAAGGATGTCTGAGGACCCATATGAACAGCATAGGCGTAGCCCTGCTGGTGATGCACCATGGCACAACATTCCATTCGAGCGATCTCAGGGAGCCTTACCATTAGAGGATTCTCGGTATGCTAGGGAAGATCCATACCCATTTTCAAAGAAGTTGAGGACTGGTGAAGCACATGACTCTGAACTTCCTGAATACCCTTTCTCTGAATTTGATCGAGGGAAGGTTGGCTCTGCCTACCCAAGGAGGCCCTTCTATGGTGTGCCAGATGATGACATACACCCCAGAGGCTATCAACTTGCTCCTATGCATGGTAGAAATCATGTTGATCCTTTAAGGAATCCAACTCCACTTGTAGATAGGCATATACCAGGGCATGCACAGGACAGCTTTTCTAGGCATGTAGAAGTGGAAAGATCAACTCCTGAATACCATGAACCCCTTCTCAAGGAAGAATGGAAATGGGATGGTACAATAGCAAAGGGAGGCACACCAATTTGCCGAGCGCGATGCTTCCCTGTTGGGAAGGTTCTTAACTTCATGCTGTAAGTCTGGGTTCTTCACTGTATTTTCTTGTTCATTCTGAGTATCATTATTGACATCTACAACATTAGCTCTGCTTATCGTCTTAATAAAAATCACAAAATTTCCTTCATGGTTCAAGATATATAATACATAGCAAATATATCATAGATATCGTTTTGCCTTTTACATCTAATTTATACTGCATGCTTTTGTTTGCACCTGATGAAGGCTTTTGTAGAGCTATGTTTTGTTCACGTTGTTCTTGATTTAATTATATCTCTGCACCATTTGCCTCTACTCATAATCTTAATAAATACAGACGTTTGCCTTCACGGTCCAAACTACATAATCTAGTTGATCAATTTCTATCTGCATTCTTTTGGTTGTATCTGATGAGATGCCTTTGGTGTTTATGCTCTGTTCTATTGTTCTAGATTTGAGCATCTCTAAGTTCAACATTTAGTTTTAAACCGCTGTTGATTTCATACTTTCAGGCCCGAATTTTTGGATTGCACTGCTAGGACAAGCCTGGAGATGCTCTCTAAGCACTATTACCAAGCTGCCAGCAGCTGGGTGGTGTTTTTTGTTCCAGAAAATGATGCTGACATGGCAGCCTATAATGAATTCATGAATTACCTTGGTGATAAGCAGCGTGCAGCAGTTTGTAAACTTGGAGAAAGGAGCAGCTTATTTCTTGTTCCACCCTCAGACTTCTCTGAACAAGTACTGAGGGTTCCAGGTAAAGTCAGCATATCTGGAGTCATTCTGAAGTTTGAGCAGTCAGATCCAGAAGTTTCCTCGCCAACTCGCAAACCAGAAACATTTGTGAGTCATTTGAACCATGATGTTCGTGCTCATGAGGATCTAGATGCATTGAGAAGAATCAACCCACCAGATATCAGGCCACTTCCTCAGGGTTCAGATTATCTCGGGTTGTCGCCTGGAAGCTATAATCCAGCAAGTGCACATTTGGTTCCGCCTTACAAGTTTGGAAATGCTCCTTCATATCTAGAATCTGAATTAGCTCATCAAAAGCATCCACCTGACTCCCACAGGGAGATAGCACATGACAAGCAGCAGCAACACCCAGATGTATTGCCCTCAAGATGGTCAGATAACATTTACAATCCAAGTCCAGGTTCTGGAAATTTGAATTATTTGGCTGAGAGTGCGATCCCACATACATCAACTGATAGGACACCAGAGGCATACTCATTTGCTCCTCAAGGAGTACCAAAAGTGAGTACATCAGGGTATGCACCAGTTGCAGATGAGGCATCAAACATGTCCTACCCTCCCATGCAACCTGCATCACAGCAGGTAGTTAGACCTCAACAACCTCCATCTCTCCCATTATCGCTTCCACCAGAGCAACTTGCACAATTGGCCACTCTTCTTGCACAACAAAACCAACCAGGAAAAGAGCCTGTGGACAGCTTAAACAAAGAATCAGGATTCATACGGAATCCACATGGACATTCTTCAATGATGCCACACAGCTCAGGTTCTATCCCTGTCCAAAACTCATTGCCACCTGCTCCGCCATCTGCATCACAGTTACAGGTTCATGCGCCACCAGTTCAAGGTTCAGTGCCACCAAATCCATCCATTATGCATACACCGAATGCTCCTATGCCTTCTCACAACACTTTGCCTTTACCCCCTATGCATCCTTCGGGAAATCCAGCTCATTCTTCCATGCCTTTGAGATCGTTCGTCCCTCCTCTTCCTGAAGGCCCTCCACCCCTTAGGCAGCACACATCAAGTGCTCTACAAGCGCAACCTGCACTTCCCTCTGGACCACAGACTAGCCAGCAACCGTCTGCTCAGGAAGACCATCACGGAGACCCTCAAAAGCGCCTTCAAGCAACATTGCAATTGGCAGCAACCCTACTTCAGCAGATACAGCAACAATCTAAACCTGGTGGCCAGAAGTAGATGCGAGGTAATTGTTTGCCTAAAGATCTCTTTTAATTTCTGTACCATTTACACAAGAATATGAATCATTGTCCTATTTGAACCAAATCGTTTATGCCATCAATGTAATTGCTAAATGGTTTGTATATTGTTTAGGAGAAACTCTTGCCTTGTATTGTTCGTTTGGTCATTGTTTTCCAAACTTTTACATGATAATCAAACATCAAGGACATTGCATTATCATTTTTACTCTTAATGCCTGTCTTTACACAAGTGTTGTATTTCTGTCACCTGCTAGATAGAATTATGTTTGGAACCCTGGCTGTCAATTAACCAGTGAATGAAATTTCGGTTCAAAATTTCAGAAACAATTTCATTATTTTCGAACCCCCTGGCCAGTCATTCTCTCAGCCGAAATTTTCCAGTTTTTCTCTCTTTTTTTTTAATTTGGTAAAAGTTTATTCAAATTCAGTCAAATTATGTTAATTTTTTCAAAAAAAAAAATCAGTCCAAAAAGTGCCGAAAATCCTGAATTTTCTGGAATTTCAGTGCTACCGAAATGGCTGAGATTTTAAGCGAAATCAAAAGTGAAAACCCTGTTATTAACATATAAATTTTAAGGGGAAAAGATATTTGTTGAAGAAGCAGGATGCAATCCCTCTCTGTATGTGATACATTTAATTCGTCTGAGTATATATATATTCGTAAACTAGTGGGACTTGGGCAATTATGAGTTGGAACTATTTTATTTACTTTCTCATGTTTATGTAGTAATTGTGGCAAAAGCAGGACAACTTTAGTGAGATATATTTAGTATGCTTGATTTAAACTAAAAAATTTTCAATACATCATTTGTGCTTATGCTGATGATATTTTCAAATGCCATAGTCTGAACCCGCTCTTCAATTTCAGCATTCCATGTCAGTAGTAGAAACAAGAACCACCTTTATTTGCTGCAATCACCACTTACAACAGTTATATTACCTGTCATGACAGGTTAAGGAAATTTGCAGCCTGCAAGGATCATATGGTGATATTTTCTCCTTATTACTGAAGAGCCTGAGAGTCTGAAACTGCTGGTGGGCACCCATACCTATACCGGATGTTTTGTTAACATAGGTTCTGCTATGAATTAGCATTGCAGTTTAATTTTGAAAGCTTACTCCTAGGTGGCAACCACCTCCGTTGTCTTGTCTGTATAAGATTGCACCGTTCATCTTTTCTCTCTGTTTTTGTGTTAATCAATGCATAGACCCATGAATACCACTTCCCTTTTTGCATTCATACATCATGCATTCGTCTCATCGATGTGTCGTCTCTCTGAAATTCCTTTTGCATGCTTCCGCTGTTCGCCTGTATGTTTTTTGACAGTGTGGTGTACGCCTCCATTCATGAGGAATACTAGTAGTGTATACTACCTTCGTCTCAAAATAAGTTTACTTTGTACACTGTCTAGATTCATGTACAAAAGCAAACTTATTTTGGGACTAGGTAGTATATCTCATTGAATACAACAATTTTGTGGGCAGTTATTATGAACTAGACTGTGAACAGAGCATCCCAAAAGATGTCCTCCGCAGGTAAGATTGAAGTGCAAGAAGAGGGAAATGCATATGCCATTCTACTGTCTACTGTACTGAAACAAGCTTACTGCTATGGAATTTGGAGTACTCCCTGGGATGCCTATCCTTCAGATTTTATTAAGGGGTTTCCCATGATGCAGGGGTGGGAGCTTTATTAACCTTTGTGTGCTGTAAATTCTTTCACTACTTTCAGTGCACACCAGCTTTATCTCTCTGCCATGTATGGTCTGTCTGCTAAAGTGCATAGCCTATATATTTGCTGTTACTGCAAACTTTAGCTTGTTAAAAGTGTTCATCTGTAGTATCAGAGTTCAGAGTTCCATGGAACAGCATTGCAGCAGCCAATCTTTCTCACTTTCCTTTTTTTTATGTACTATTGTTTTAAGTACTCTTGGTCTCAACCCAATGATGGCCCTATGTGTGGCTTCAGTGCTTTGAGATTTATTTAATTCTGCTTTGTTTGCTGAAAGCAAGGCAAATTCGTACGGGTGATTCAGGCGATTGTTGCCTGGTCCTTTTTTTTATGAGAGGATTTTTATTTATTTATTTCTTGGGTATGAGAGGAAACCTAGCAGCAAGCCAGAAGTTATGGATATAAGATTCTTGCAGAAATATAAAATTATGGAGGACATTTTTCGTCCTTCATATACTGTACAAAACCCTTAAAAAAAAACAAGGAGAACGAGTAGACGACACATCAACGAGAAGCTTTCTTGTACAAATTGTGCTGATAATGTTAGGCCGTTTGAAACCTAGGAATTTCATACGATGATAATGCAAGGAAATATAAGGAGTAGCTTTCTATCTTTACACCAACTATAAATACATACAGCCATTTAATTTTGCATATCATGATTTGAGCCAGTTATACACTTGCATAACTCAACGACGGAAATGGATTCTAATCCTCGAGGGATGTTCCATTGTCTTCCAAATAATTATGAAAAAAAATTAAAAAAATAAGATAGATTAATGTGTCGAGGGATGTTCACTGTTCTTGCATTGTCTTCCAAATATTGCATTGTCTTCCAAATAGTTATGAAAAAAATTAAAAAAAATATAAGATAGATTAATGTGTGATATATTACTTTACAAATATGCATTCAAATTCAATATTCACAAGTTGTAACAAAAATAATAAATTAAGCTCTAATTAGTATACGTGTGCTCACTATCATATTTGTTTTGCAGAAGTCAAATTTAGACGTGTACGTTGGCAGAGTGATATACCATATATTAATCTATTTATCAATTTTTTCTACTTTTATATAAATATTTGCATGGAGCATCAATTGGAATATCCATGCCACCCTTTCGAAACTACTACGATTTCTTCGTAAGATTATTTCTTAATCTACATTGGTTAGGTAACTTTTCCCAAGCTATTTGTTACTCTATCCATCCCATAATATAAGGGACCAGATTCATTTCACTATAATGCGTCACATCCACCCAAAATACCTTATATTATGGAACAGAGGAAGTGGCTTTGTAATATATAATTTTAATTTTAATTAATTTCTATAAGCAACTGTCCATATTTTCGATCTTAAAAACTGCATTGTAAGCTGAATTTCGCCCATCAATTTAAATTATATATTTGTCTATGATTTGCCTTTTTCAACTTTATATCTCACATTTTAGTGACATGTAATAAGTCGAAGATCCCAATCCAATTAGGCCATTAACAGCACACACATGTGGCATTCAGCCCAACCCATAACACGTAGGAGATTCACGTAGCCAAACGAGGTCCATGTAGCCAAAGCTGGGCGTGCATTCTTTTGATGAAAAGCTATCATGCATCGCGGGGGAGAACGATGCGGCCACGCTGTGGAAGTCGTCGCCTTGCACTTCGTGGCATGGTGCGACGCCCCCACCCCACACCCCGTGCGAGATGGTGGGGGTCGTTGTTGGCGAGGCCACCACCCTGAGCTCGATGGGACAACGTCGACGCCAGAGAGAGCTGTTGCTGTGCTGGAGAGGGAGCTCAGGGTGGTTGGATCCATGACGGAGATGGTTAGATCCATGCCGGAGAGTGAGCCTTGTTGTCGCCGTTGAGCTCTTTCTCACCATCGCCGACCTGCTGCCCGTCGCCCCGTCAGATCCGTTGGGGAGAGAGAGAGAGAGGAGAGAGGTGCGTGCAGCGGGGTGAGCGGCGTCGATAATGGGGAAAAGGAGAGTGGCACTGGTTGTGGGGGATAGGGGGGACGGCGCCGCCTCCTGCCACCGAGCTCCCGCTGTCCCCTGCTACCGAGCCACCGACCTCGCCGTCCCCCGCTACCGCGCCAGGCCCCGCCGCTGGTCAGAGGAGGAGAGGTGGATCCCCGATGGTGTTGTCGCTGCTCGGTCCACCGGTCGGAGGAGGAGGAGAGGTGGAGCCTAGCTGGCGCTGTTGTCGCTTGGGCCGCGTCGCTGCCATTCTGCTCAGCTCCGTCGCTAGGGAGATGCTTGGCGTTGCCGCCTTGCTTCCTCTCCACCAAGGAAAAGACGTTGAGAAAGGGGAGGAAAAGTGAAGGAGTGATAGTGGTGGGACCCACCACAAGTGATATGCATTGTGGAGCATGTAGCAAATACAGTTCTTAGGTGGTGTTCTTTTCTCCTGAAGATGAAGATGAAGATTAAGATTAAGTTTTTAACGCAAAACGAGGTGGTATTAGCGTATGATTGATTGAGTTTTAATTATTACAATCTTGAAAATAGATTAATATGATATTTTAGAGCAACTTTCATATAGAAAATTTTCACACAAAACGCACCGTTTAACAGTCTGAAAAGCGTACCATGAAAATCTTAATTTTTATCTAACTCTTATTGAAGAGAAGAACGGGACCTTAGTCTACGTGGTGTGCAAGGATCGGTAAAAATCTGTGGCAGACTGCTGTTGCTGAGAGAGGCCCCGCCGAGAGGAGGGCGTGGCCGCTTGTTGCCCTCCATATGCAGGTGGGCTGTCAATGTAGAGCTCCACGCGCGGGGAACATCACGCCATGTCACCACCCATGCGTGTGCATGCGGAAACCGGCGATGGAACGGCAGCATCTCATGCGGCGTGAACGCATGATGATGCCTCCTGTACTCCTGTGGCCCTGTGGGGGTGGCGATCCCAAACACTGTAACGTCTCCTGGTTGCCTACCAAGTGCCAACTACTATGTCCCCCCTTTGGCAGCTTTGTTTTGCCTTCTTTTTTTTAGAAGGGAAAAAAATACTCTTCACCTCCATGGTGGGCCCCACATGGATTTGCCATGAATATGATGAATTTTACAAAATACTCAAAAATCCCACATGAAGTAGTTCGATTTTCATGTGAATTCGCAAAAAATGTCATGCATGATATATGCTTGCTACTCCGTAGAACTCGCTCGCAAAAGTGTTATTGTTGAGGTTTCGTGCTGAATGGTTCGATGGCCGAATGATTTCTGATAATTATTTGAAGGTATTAATGAATAAATTAAATATTAGGAAAAATAAATTTAAAAAAATTCTCTAAAAACTTGAAAAAGCCGTATCATTTAGGAGCTAGAGAATTCATCTATCATTCTATTCCTTAAAAAAAACATGGCATAAGATTTATGCTTGTCGCAAACTAAACCCAGTTCTTCCAACATCAAATATTTTTGACATGAGGAAGAGATGCAACGTTAAATATTTACAGCACCAACGACCCTAGGGCACCGTTCATATTCATGGGTTATTGGGTTATGACATTGTTTAGCAACTAGGTGGCATTATCTTATACTCTCTCCGTTTTCTATTTCAAGTTGTTTGACTTTTTTCTAATCAAACTTATTTTAGTATAACTAAATTTGTAGAAAAATATAGTATTATTCTCAACACAAAACAAACATATTATCAAACTATACTCAATGTTAGATTTAATGAAACTAATTTCATATTTAAATGTTATTTTTTTCGATAAATTTGGTCAAACTTAATAAAGTTTGATTAGAAAAAAAAAGTCAAACAACTTATAATATGAAATGGAGGGATTACAATATTCGGTTATTATGGCTGCACATCTGCAGTGCAGCAGCAGTCCTGATAGAAAGTTTGTTGGGTCCTATAGCAGAAATACTCTTCCGAACACAACCATAAATTGTTTTGTTCTAGAAAAATCCGATATAACTCTTATTCTAGCTACTTCCCTTCAAGTCTGGAACATATTTTTGTTTGCCTAGAAATTTAAAATGCCCCAAAAAAGGAAATATAAACCGGGAATCCTTGGCGTCGGGCGCTCGACGCCAGCAGGAAAAATCGGGCATCTCGGTCGCGTCTCCTCCAGCTTACGCGTTGCCCCCACCACGCACCCTAGCACATACTCCATTGCAACAAATCATCCACATATTTTGGAAATCCTCTTTTAAGGAAATTTGTTTCATTTTTTGTTCCAAAAAAAATATTTCACCTAGTGTACTCACAATGTTTCACTATGTATAGATCTAATGTTGCAGTGAATTGAAATATTCTTTTGCAACAAATTACCCACATATTTTGAAAACCCTCTATTAATGGAATTTGTTTCATGTTTTGTTCCACAAAAAATGTTTCACCTAGTATACTTATAATGTTTCACTATGTATAGATCAAATGTTGCAGTGAACTGAAACATTCTTTCGCTATTTGTTGAAACATTGTTTTTATATAAGGTGAAACAACGCCCAATTTAAATGACCGAAAGATTTTCGATCTAACAATTCCGATATACTTGGTGGAACAGCGC